ACACCTGAGACCAGCAGCCCCAGCACCAGCAGGCTGTGGCCATTGGTGGCATCTTCTGGCTCCACAGCACTGGAAAGCGGCAGCAGCCCTGTGGCGTTTCACGACACGGACTCCAGTTGATGCAGAGACTCAACTCCTCGTTTATTACCGCCAAGCCCTTTTTATCCCCTTGTTCAGTGCTTTCCCTACCTGCACATACATACAAGGTTCAAAACAAACATTCCTAATACAATTTTTTCACTCGTGCTCCAAGCCTAGCAAATAAACAGTTTAAGAACAGTTAGCCTTCTGCACCAACAATTGGTTTTGAACTACATAAAGAAAATACAGATACATATCCATTTTTACAATCTTAATCATTCAGTTTAGGACCATAGAATCCTACAATAGTTAGGGATGGAAAGGACCTTAAGATCACCAAGTTCCAGCCCCCCTGCCACGGGCAGGGACACCTCTCACTAAACAATATCACCCAAGGCCTCACCCAACCTGCTCTTGAACACCACCAGAGAGGGAGCATTCTCAAATTCCCTGGGCAACCTGTTCCAGTGCCTCACCACCCTAACAGGAAAGAATTGCCTCCTTATATCCTATCTAAACTTCCCCTGTTTAAGTTTTAACCCGTTACCCCTTGTCCTATCACTACAGTCCCTAATGAAGAGTCCCTCCCCAGCATCCCTATAGGCCCCCTTCAGATACTGGAAGGATGCTATGAGGTCTCCACACGGCCTCCTCTTCTCCAGGCTGAACAGCCCCAACTTTCTCAGCCTATCTTCATACAGGAGGTGCTCCAGTCCCCTGATCATCCTTGTGGCCCTCCTCTGTACTTGTTCCAACAGTTCTGGTGTCCTTTTCATGTTGAGGACACCAGAACTGCATACAATACTCCAAGTGAGTTCTCACGAGAGTAGAGCAGAGGGGCAGGATCACCTCCTTCGACCTGCTGGTCACGCTTCTTTTGATTCAGCATGTATGTGAACTTAATCAGAGTCTATCATGTTGGCAGATATTTGGAGAAAGGCACCTCCATCCCAAACACCAAATTCCCCTCAGCTCCACTTTTACTTGACTCTGTCGGCCTTAGACCACCAGCTGTACTGGGCTGCTCATGTAGCAATGAAGAGTATGAACAATGGCACTTCCTATTTGAATTCTGTCCTCTACATTCACAACGTATATTGTATGCATGAATAGCAGTGCCTGGCTTAAATCCAGTGTGAGGGGTTTTATCAAGAGGATTATTTTTAACAACTTCAGATCTCTTTTGTTACACAAAAATATCATAACACTTAAAGATACAGTTTGGATAACTTTAATGAGACTTTGCAATTTACATTCAATATGTATAAGTACACAAAATATAAGAAATCACATATACATATAAACTTTTGGTTTACAAGTCAACCAGCATGAACTACACAAGCTACATTTATTCACATAACAAAAGGAAACATTGACAAGCTTCATTCACCGATCAAACATCTCAACAATTTACAGACCAGCATTTTTTTTGCAGCTGCTAAAACAACAATCTTCCATAAAGAACAAATAATTTATGTCAACAGATACACTGACATCACATTCTATGAAATGAAAATGCCAAACCTAACACTGACTGGATGCTTCCACTATTCAGCAGAACCCACTTGAAGCAACAGTGTGTAGCTTATACCAGCATCAAATCTGTCCACGGTTTATCAGCTCTGTGACTGAGATAATAAACCACATATAGAAATTCTTTAGGGTAAATGAAGCCATTTCATTTCATTAAAGGGTTATTTAATGCACTTATTTTTTAGCCTTTTTAAAACAAAAAGGAAATAGCTTTTAAACCAAAAATGAAATATTTAAACCTTTTGGGTTTTTATTTTCTGCCTTAAACTATTCTCACATACGACATGAATTTGTACCTGATGAATAACTTTGGTCCCTCAGACTACCTGGTGAATCAGTTTTTAACTATTTTGTCAAAATACTCCAACAATTCACTAATGCAGTTATTTGAAGCAGGTAAAAATAACATAGGCATTTCTATCTTAATCTCTCTGCTACAAAGTCTGATACTCTTATTTTTTTTTTGAACAAGAATATGGTCACAAAATCAAAGCTCCTTTTAGCAGCATTAAAGGTGAAGGTCCTCCTGTGCAAAGTCCTGGAAACTTTCTGATCCCTTCAAATACACTGAATACCCTTAGCAATTCAGACACAGAGCCTGAAAAACTAAGCATGCCATTTGTTTTCACAAAAAAAAACCAACAAACAACAAAACAACACGCCCCCAGTGCAGTTCCCTGCAGAGATGCTCATTTGGTCACACTCATTTTTCATGAGACACGTGTGACCTTTTACAAATGAAGCACATACACCTCATGAGCAACACAGTATATGCCTTACGGGAACACTGCCTTCAGTTTGGGAGTTGAAAAAAATGAAACAACTACATTTTTTACAGATTAACCACAGCTTTATGCCTGTTAGTTTCAACAAAATTTGTTGAAAGGACTAAAAACTCACCAATAGATCAGAAAATGTAACTGTAAGCAAGCTGAGCTGATCTGCTGTGTTCCGACAAGGAACTTCATGGTTTGTCAGTGATTTGAAAGGAATGCTTAAGCTGATGAAGTCTGCAGCTCTCCCAAAAATTCATAGAACAGTAACTAATTAAGAGGTCAAGTCAATGAACCACGCAAATTTGATCATTTAATAAGTTGGGCACAAACAAAATGCCTTTTATATATCTAACTGGAAATTCAATGCCTAAAAGCAAAGAATACCCTTAGGGAAAGGATGCTGGAGTTCACCCAAGGAAGCAGTTACTCTGCAAAATATCTGAGGGTATCACTGGTAGATAAAATCTATCCCTTTTAAAAATGACCTTGGAGATGACTTTCACAGTTGCATGTGCTCTTAAGAAGTCTGCTAAGGTAAAGGATTTGGTAGCGGAGTGTTATAAGGAGCCCTGTTCACTTTAATACCTGGAAAAGAGGAATACAGGACGATTCATCACTCTACTACCAGTTTTGGATAGGATGTATTCTAAAGGGAATTAAAACATTCAAGTGCCTCTTTCGGAGTAGCAATATCAAACCGGTTAGCAGCAAGAGCAAACTGCTCAAGATTTAAACAAGTGCGAAACCACTGAGCTTTGGACTTAATTTTAACGTGTTGCCCATGCATGAGAGCTGCCTCCATCATCTCTCCATACATTGTGTTTAATGCCCTGTATTGCTGAGCGGCTGTAGGTTTATTTGTTTGGAACTTACTGGTGAGTCAGATATTGCTGCAACCTTCAAAGAATTCTTGATGGAGCTGAGTTCCCACATGTGTAAATTTATGATGTGCACACCACAACATCCCCTTGCAATCTTGTACAGGTTTTTAAGCACAGCTTTCCGGAGAAGAATGTACACCCAGGGATCTAAAATCTGATTCCACGTTGCCATTCGAAGAGCAAAAAGTATTGTTTCACAGGTCTCCTTTGAACGACTCTCATTTATTCCAATTTTGGCCATTGTTACCTGAAAATGGAACATTTTAAAATTATCATCAAAAAAGTACACAAAAAGAGCATGCAAACAAGTGAAATTTCAACATTTTCTCTAATCATCACACCTTAACAGCATCAATGCATCCCAATTGCAAAGTATATACTTTCAGGCATGTAATATTCATCATCCTAGAAATCCTGTTTTACATACGATAGACACGTGTCTCTGCTGAAACTTGAGCAGAAGATGGCAACCAGACAGAGAATACCCCCCAAAACCAGTAACTGATTTGAGCAAGAATACAAACTTTCCTAGAATTTAAGCTAAAAAAATGTGCTAAAACTGTTCCAAGGGATGGGTTTTTCAATTATAGAAGCTACTGGCTGATCATTTCATGATCTTTTTTATGAAATTTATTTATTTTTCCACGTTTTCAAATTAAAGTCTGCATAAGGAATATAGGACTTTGATTTCATCAAGAAGATTCACACATTTTAAGCTGCAACAAAACAGAATTTATTGACACTACAGGGTTTAGAGGTTTCTAGGAAAAATTAAGCCATGGTGACAAAGGCCACCAATACCCCTCCTCTTGCCAGTGGAGACACAGAGAGTTTTATTCACCTGTGGAGGTGCTGATGGACAGACCCACAACAACAACAATGCTGCCAGAGCCAAGTTTCACATGAGTGGAAGTATTACCCTTCCAGTATAGCTCAGACTGCTTCTGACAGAGGACACCCAAGAGCTACACCAGCCCAGCAAGTTGTGGCTGGCCTCCCCACTTTGCAGAGCTGCAACCTGGGCTTTGAAACACCAACCATAGTGGAACACCACCTGTAGAGGCTTCTGCCACTGAGGTTTTGTAACCTGAGTTCCTGTGTGAAGAAAGAATGACTCTGCAAAGCCAGGAACCTGCCAGAGGACGGTAAATTATCTCTCCCTATTATTAATGTTAAAAGCATATGAAGATTTTTTGGTAGAAAGATGAAACACTATTAAGGCTTTCAGTTCCAAAGCCTTTAAAACAATACAGCTATTTAGCTAAGAAACAGGATATTTTACAACTGAGGAGTACACTGATTTATTGAGTGCTAGAGGTAGGATCAGTATGTCCAAGTGCAGAAAGTCATATTTTCACTAAGATACATTGTAAAAAAAAAAAAAAAAACCAAAACCAAACAAAACCAACAAACAACATCCCCAAAACTCCCTAAAATATAATAATAAAAGGAGAGAGAACTACTGTTCAAGATTCCAGCAAATCTATTATACTCCTTTTTAAAGGCTTTTCTGTATTCCTAGGCCCTACTTATAGCTTGCAGGTCACCACATCTGAGTATAAACTTGAGTGGAACAGAGTGAACACATAAAAGGAGCCTGGACTTGCTTGATTAAGCTTTGATGAAGAGTTTCTGTATGGCCATCTATGAGAGCAGCAAAGAGAATCCTGTGGAACATTCCTAAAGAAGCTGGTAAGACTGGCAGAAGCACAGCTGGGAACCAGTGCAAGGAGGAGGAGGAATGTCTGAGCACTGAGCCAACACAAACACTTCCAAATCAGTTCCCCGAATCTGCTTTTCACCCCACATCTAATGGGCGCATTCCTTTCTGACATCAGCAGCCCACCCAAACTTGGACAATTCCTTTGGCTTCTGCATAGGATGTTTTCTCAGGACAGTCCTTCATTTTATTTATTGGAGGTCCAATAGCACAAGCTAAACTCAGACAGAATAGTCTGTACTCATTCAAGTAGGACTGGGCAGCAACTGATGACACAACAGCGCTTACAGACCAACCTCCTTACCAAATATACCACATGCTTGACTTGATACAGATATCTAGTTTCCTAATCTTGATGTAGTTCAAAATTAGTATGTTGTTCTTCTCTTGCAGTCTGCAAAATTAATAAATGACAAATCCAATGCAATTTATGCCCAGAAGAAGAAGCACTAAATGCTGACATCTAGGAAATGTAGCTCCATCCAGATTTTGTAAAACTATTGTTTTCTCACATTACTTTGCAAATTTGTGAAATTCCTTTCCATTTAGTAGTAATCACCTCTAAGTGAATCCATTCATCTGCTGTTCAACTTGCTGGCTCAACATAAAGTACCTCTGTTTTGATTATGGATTTACATACAGTAAATCAGGATAATAAGAAATTTGATATACAATTTTATGAATTCTAATACTTGAAGAAGCTTCATCCAGAGCATTTAAGTTACCTCTTCTGAATTCTGGACATATAAAAAATAAAAAAAAATAATGCATCTGAACTCAAATAGAGGTTATGTACACAGCTAAATGCCTAAGCAACTCAGCTGTGAATCCATGTATTGGAAATAATAAACAAATCTACATTATCTATACATTTTGTTTCATAAAATACAAATTTTTCATCCAACTTTTATTATTTGGTAGTGTTATGCAGAAATTGAAAAGGTTTAATTTCTTGTATCACTAAAACCAGCATAAAATCATATCCCAACTTTCTGAAGTTCTGAGAGACTAAGACTTCCCTATAGGCCTGGAGTAAGACAGGGAATCTCAGCTGAACCACAAGCATGAGCATTTTTATCCTGAAACACTTGTGGCAAAGCAGCGGTAGCAACAGACATGTAATCACTGCACTCTCTCTGAGTATGAAATGAGATAGCTTCTCACTCTTCCAAAGAGCCTGCACTCTACTGGGAGGTTTTCCATGTCTTCTGAGAAAACACATAGGAAACCTGCATGCAAATGAAGTCAGCTGCATGCAAAAACAGGGCAAAAAGAAGACTATGTCCTGCCTACTGGAGCCTTTCTGAAGTCATCTGATGATTTCTAGAACAAGACCCTGCAGCTGAAGAGAGGTAGAATGGAGTGAGACCAATATAAGTTATTATTTCTATCACATTTTCATGGCTAATTTTGTAATTTAAATTTAAATTCTTAAAATGCTATTCCAAAGTCAGTTTGAAATCATAATGATAAAAAGGCCTAATACACTACCATCTGTTCAATAAAGGATATCATTGAAGCAAAACATGCAGTCAGTCTGTATTTGCTCCCTAGATGCAAGTAACTCGTGCCACTGAACCGGCTCAGAAACTGCAAACAGAGCTTGCTGCAGTGCTAAGCTGGTTTCCGAGAGTAGGACCTCCTCTGGAGGCACAGAGAGGCCACTTGAAGGATGATGGAGGAATCCTGTCCTCTGTATCCAGCAGTACACAAGTAGGGAAGTGGGAAGAGGCAATGTGATTGCATCATATCTACTTGCCTTTGATCTCCACAACATAATTTAATATTCATGCAGATTCAGCACTATGACTCAAAAAATTAATCCCCAGCTGGTAAATAAATGTAACTGATGACATTTTCTAACATATTTAGAAATGTAAAAATGCAAGTAGCACTTTGCTGAGTTATGCAATGTTTATACGAACATAGCTGTAGTATGTCTGCCTGGTTTGCAAAGAAAAACAAGAAAGTAAGCAATAGAATTCAAACTTTCTTTAGGAAAGTAACTGTAAAAGTATAACTGTAAAAGTGACTTCCTAAACCAAGATGGCCATCTTGTAAGATAGAAAGCTATTCTGACTCATTGTAGTCCTTGGTGATTTAAGGAAAGACCTGAGAATTCCCTGTCCCTAAAACAGAGAAATCAAATTTGTGTCAAGCAAGGATTTGACACAATACATCACACTTCTCCATCATTTTTGTTCCATTGTAGGTCTCACTAAAACCAAAGCCCACTTTGCAAGTTCCAGGAAGTCTTATGGAAAAGTTTCAAAAACATTTTGAAATCCTTGACTTCGACTATTTTGCATATAGCAGATAGCATCAGAGATTGCCATTTCCCTTAGGGACAAAGCCCAGTGCAACAAACTAAAAAACAAACACTCCAAAGCTTCACACCACTCTCCAGATATAAACAGCATGATTTTAATTTCCTTTCCAATTGAATCTCAATTATATGAGAACAACTAATATGCTAAATGGCAGTGCTGTTTAGTCACATTGCTGGTTGTACTCAAGGACAGCCAGTCAAAATAAGCAACAGACTTTACAGCTAGTTAGGAAATAAAACAAACTGTAATGATACTTTGATGTATTTCAGCACATACACTCTAAATCCAGGTTCCAGCCTTGACTTCAGGAAAGTGGATAAAAAACAGTCACCAAGAGATTGTCATGGAAAGCAGAGCAGGCAAATGCAAGAAATTATCTTCCTCTGTAGCTCAGCCTTCAGGCTCCAGCTCCCTATGGGAGCCTTGCAGACCCTCCCAAACCTCTTCCTCTTCCTTTGGATTTTATAACAAGCAGTTCTGAGAATTTCTGCTAATGGAAGAAAGGTCATGTTTTTTTCAGGATTTGCAGAGTGCTCATATTTTGTCACTGATGCCTACGTTGAATCCAGAGGTGCCACAAGGCAGTATTGTACTGATTACATTCTGCTCCATGTAAAATAAAAAATATATAATTAGTTGGAATTTCGAGAACTTTTTGGAACTTCCATTATCCATATATGCTAAAAAGAAGCTGCAGTCTGCTACAGGCAAGAGCTGACAGAATATAATACTTTGTAGTACTCTATAAACTTCAAGAAAAAATTTGCAAAAGAGCGGGAGAGAAAAATCAGAATGTTTCTGCCTTCACATTTTATGTACCATTTTATATCTCCAAAGAACAGCCATTAGGAAAGAAACACTGACAGCAAATCATTGGTAGCGTATCACTGCTATGTATATTTTCCAGTATATAACCAAGCTTTTGTTGCAAAAAAGCTGAGTATGCTGCTTTTTTTTTTATTTTATGCCCGTTTAAAAGCAAGGGATTCCAAGAAAAATATGTACTGCACCACTTCTGCATCAAAATGTTAGTACATGCACATACTTAAGCCACATAAAATGCTCTTTCTGTTACAGATCTGCAACGTGTTTTTCTCTTAATGACTTCCTTTCCCTTTTTAAAAGAAAAACAGAAACCATACCTTCAACATTTCTATACCAGATGATCATTTGGCACAGCACGTAAATTTTAACTGA